GCCACTGAGAAATGAGTATTAAAAACTGAACTGCTACGGCCCTTATGCTATTGGCACTAAGAACCACCATGGATACTGGTTTAGTTGGATGTAAGGGCGATCTGGCTGTGACATCTGTCACCCCATTGATTGCCAGGGTTGATTTGGCTAAAGGAGTGGATTGGACCACCATACAGCAACCACCATCTGCACTTAATTGCACTTTGGATGTATATTGTTGTGATGTGAATTTTATAGTATTGCATTTATGTATTTGTGGTTTATTGTATTTTAATCTGTTGAGCCTGCCTGTGCAGGAAAGGTGGGTTATACATAAAAATAAAATAATAATAATTCCCCAATCTATTATTAAGAAATAGAGCAAATTGGCTAACACCTCAGAACCCAAGCCACTGGGGTTCTGGACCCAAGCCACTGAAAGCCTCTAATCTATGGTAAAATTCAAACACAGTGACATTTGTGCTGCTGGATCTTAAGAAATAAAAAACAGACTCTCTTGCTGTAGCACTCTGTTATACAGTACTAACCTTGGTCTGTGAACAAAGAGGCTAGTGGAACACCTTTCTGATTCTTCATCAAAAGTGTTGACCAAGGACTGCTGCCATCTGATAGAGGTCTTATTCTGAAATCAGAGAGATTTTTTGATCAGAAAAAAATGGTTTCCTTTACACTGACAGCATGTTCCTGCTGTGCAAACAGAGAACATTTAGGGTGCGTTCAGACGCGGCGTTTCAGCCGGCATAAACTGTACCGGTTGGAACCGGTGCAGTTTATGCTGGCTGAAACGCGATCACACTCACCTCCATTTTGCGGATCCCATCGCTGTATGCCCGCTCACACGCTGCGGGCATCGGCTTTTTTTTTTTTAAACTCAGTTTGAGCATGCGCATAGGCAGCCATTCACAGAATGGTGATCTTTGCGCATGCTCAAAACACCCCATATTACATTTAAACTTTAAAGGTAAGGTAAAGTTTAAATACCCAACTGGCCTCCCTGAAGTCCCGGACTCCTCCAAAACGCTACACTAAGGGCTTTTTTTTTTTAAAACAAACGCTCAGGGCGAAGCTTCGCCCAAGCGCACATCGCTTAGTTAAAAAAAATGGTGGGGAAAAATCGGAAGCCTCAGGCTTCCGAACTGAAGTGGCTAGACACCGGTGGAGAGCGATCAAACAGTGGGGTTAAGCGAATGCAACCGTTGCACTCAGGATACCACCACTTCGGGACCTAGTGACAGAGTGCAACGGTTTAAAGGGCTTTACAATGGTTAGGGAGAGAAGATAGATGTTTGCCATCTGAACGCCGGTAAGTACCACGATTGCAACCGGCACAGATTCCGTTGTAAAGCCCCCATCTGAACACACCCTTATTGTAGTAAGTCATAGCAAGTTTTATTTCCATTACTATTGGGTTTTATATGTATTTGTTTCTATTTACTATTAGTTTTTAATAATAAATAAAAACAAATTCCTCTAAACCCTACTACAAAAGCATACAGGATTTACAAATGCATCATAAACTCATCTTATTAAAATCTGGCTGCTGCTAAAGAAAAAAAATGCAACTTGAATCACTCCCTCTCCTCAAAAGGATATTTAGAATACTTTTAGAACATAACAAGAAAGGGGACCCGCGAAAATCGCGGGGGGAGGAGCTGGGGAGCTCCACACAGAGCAGGCGGAGGAGGAAGCAGCAGGCTCTCTTTACCCCCCCCCGGCTCCGAAGCAAGGCCCAAGCGGCTTGCAGCTGCTGGGCCTCGCCAGTCTCTCTCTCTCTCTCTCCCCCTCCCCTGGCTCCGAGCAGCCTCGGCAGTCTCTCCCCCTTTCTTCGCCTCCGAAGTGAGGCCTGTGGCTTGCAGCCGCCGGGCCTCGCCAGTCTCTCTCTCCTTTCACCCCCCGCACTGAAGCGAGGCAGTTCACAGAGCGTTCCCTGCGCATGCGCAGCGGATGCTCTTTTACTTTTGGGGGGCATTTAAATATCCCCCCAATATTTTTTTACACTTTTCAGATTTTTGTGCACACCTGGGGACTGCCCCAAGTGTGCAGGAAAATCTGCCTGCCCCCCAGATGCCCCCAATGTGCGGATTTAGATATCCGCACGCAGGGGGCGCCTTTCGCTATTAGTATATAGATGGACACAAATGCAAACATGAGGGAATACCCTTCACAATTCACAAACAGCTGCAAAATCTATTCTGACTATGTGTCAAATTCATAAGATGACTTCCATTTCATATGAGTTTTTAGCAAAGCTTCAGCACAAAGCATCTAGATTAACAAACTGCCAGATTTCATGAGAATCTATGTCTTTTAACCCGGATCTGACTATAGATTTAACAGAAGCATCACCTGCCTGAGAAAGCCTACCATTCTATATAGATTAAACAAACGGTAATGAGGCATCTGAATGCACCCAAGTCTGCTGTGTAAGACAAAAGGATACCAGTAATAACCTAACATATCAGAAAGTCTGACTTGGACTCTAAGGTGTGTCACCCATTCTGAATGGCGCTGAACTCTCCTTGAAGGAACAGGTCCATAATCTGGGGGTGCTCTTGGTCTCAGGCCTACTGCTGGATAAGCAGATGACAATTGTGGCCAGGAATGCTTTTTAGCAGCTTCAGCTAGTTAGCCAGCTGTGGCCTTTCCTGGGCAGAAAAGATAGTGCACTGCCCAGGTTACATCTACATCAGATTACTGCAAAGCACTGTATGTGGAACTGCCCTTGAAAAGTGTTCAGGGACCAATTGGTGCAGAATACTGCAGCCAGGGTGTTAATTTAAATGGGTTTACAGATTTTTATACTGCTCAGCTTGGCCTTTAACTGGTCCAAGATTTGGATAGAAGGAAATGAACACAATTGCAGGTCAAACAATTTTCTTAACCGTTCAGTTAAAAGTTCTTCCTCAAACGTACATTTTGACATTAAAACTGAAATGCACAGGTATAGCTTAGCTGTATTCACTATCTTGGTCACTGCACATTTGATCAGTCAATCTATTAGGCTCTGTTGACTGCAGTATTCACAGCTAGGCGACTCAAAGGAATTTATTTATATTATTGCAAAACCTACTTGGTATCGTATTTCCCATGACATGCAATGGCCATACCTCTCTTTACAATCTGCACGTTCTTTTGTTTGAACTGAGCTTGGCCCCCAAGTGCAGCCTTTCTTTTTAAAGCTTCTCTTCATTTCTTCAAATTCTTCCTGATGACAAGCTGTGCTTCTTCCCCAAGTTCTGTTGCTCTCGTCTGAGGTTACTGTGGAGAGATGAAAGAGCTCAACAGCAGCATCAAAGCCATACCATAAGGTCAATGGCAGGGCACTCTTGGCAATACAACCTGCTCACAATATTCACCCTGTGCTGCTATTGTACAGATGATTTTGTTTTCCCCATCAAAGGAAAGGCATGAATTAAGATGATCAAAATACGCAGGCAAATAATTACTTATCTACAAAGGGGTAAGAAAAGAAATTAAAATCAGCAGAAAGCATCCAATTTGTCTTCATGCTTTTAATTTTTTATTATATTTAGATAAATGATAGACATTGAGCACTTGCATTGCATGTACTAATTATCTTTTCCAGAAAAGCTGGGACAAAGTCTGTATGTGACTGCATCTGTTAATTCAAAACAATCTTTTAAAATGGATATTCAAGTGCTCAGGCAATCACCATGTGAATTTAGTTTAGAAATTAATATAACCAACACCTTGTATGATTTAACTTTGTCTTGCCTTTTTTCTTAACACCACATGGAAGTTCATATTCACTTGTGATATCTACATCTTGCTGGTACACATATAAACTGTTTCTTCGTCCATTAGTTGTATTTTGTTCAGTTTTGGAAATCACTGAAGAAAATATAGATGAAAATACCAAGTTGTACATAAACTGAGTATTAAGTAAACTCTAATGCTGAAAATATTTTCAAGGGGCCTCAAATGATCCAGAAGAGTTGATCAAATACTGGTTTAGCAAGAAGTATGCAGGGCTGATTACACTGTGATCTGTTTTAAACAGTGGAATCCCACAACTTGCTTGCCTAAGCAAAAGGTTATTAGAATTACACATAATTACTACTGCTCCAGTGTGGCACCCCAATTGTTTTTCCTGCTGTTGCAGTATAAAAATCTGTTCAGGAAACTGCACCGGTATAAGAAAAGGGTCAGGGCCACTCTGCCAAGTAGTACTGTTGTTAGCAATGCTCCCTCTAAGTTCTGGAATCTTGTGAGCAAAAACTCTACTTTGTGAGCTACCAGCCTTAAAGTTGTGAGCAGGCGATTTGGCTACTGCATGAATTAGTTTGCTCTGGAGCCATCCTTCCTGAGCTAAGACAGAAATGTGTGGCACAATAAGCCCTGTGAGAGCTCAAGGTGGGGCAGGAGGGAGGGAATGTGTGTCTGCACAGAAGACTTTGATGAACTACAGTTACAGGCAAGTGCAACTCTGTTTTCATCTTCCGTCTTCTAGTGCAGCCTAACATTGGAACGATTAGCAAGCTACTCAGCAGAGGAGAAGGGGTGAGTCTCTCACTGGAACAGAGCATGCAAAATTGCCTTGTCTACATCTGCCTCTTTTCTTGCCTGAAGATCTAGATAATAATGTCTCACAATCAAGTCTTCTGTCAACCATGTTGCCACCTTGCAGATGTCCAGGAGAGGAAACCGTTGATGGAAGGCCACAGACGACCCTTGCACTTGAGTGCACTTTAATATTGAGAGGACACAGCTCTCCAGATGCCTTCTAGCAGGAACAGATGGCCTTCATCACCCATCTGGATATGGACCAAGCAGAGGCAGCTTTGCTTTTCTTGGAACCCCAATAATATGGGATGTAGGGGGGAAAAACATTTGACAACCCCTTTAAAATTGCTGAGCCAATTTGTGAGCAAAAATCGTAGTCCCTTACACTTCCTTATGAAACACAGCAGTAGCTGCCAGATGAGTTTTCACTGAGGACACTGCTAAACCTGCCTGCACTAATGAAAACAGGCACTCCAAAATGGAAGACAATGGGCAGGTAAAAGGGCATTCCCCCCCCCCAGCAGAGGCCCAGAACTCAAAACAAGTCCACTTCCTGCCACAAGACTACCTGGTTGACAAGTTTATGGGCTTGCAGTAAGATATCTAGAACTCCTTGGGAGAAGGATTGCCCTAAGGTTGGATCCTCCATGCCATCAAATGTAGCCTTGCTACACTGCGATGCAGTAATGGACCGTGCATGAGCAGGTCCAAGGCTGGGGAAAACACTATGCAGTTTCCTCCCACTAGGTATAGCAGTTCCGAGAGCCTGATCTGGTGGGGCCAGAATGGAGCCACTAGGATACCCTCCATTTGATTGGCTATCATTTTCCCAATAACCCCAGGAGAGGGAAGGGAGGAAATGCACATAAGAGCATGCTTGACCAAGGGATCTGGAATGCATCCCCCAGATAAGTTGGATTGATGCCTGCCAGGCATTTTTAAAATTCGGCTGCAGCAAACAAGTATATCTGGGAGTGTCCCCAGGTGTTGAAGATCACTCTGAAATATCTGTCCTGTATGGACCATTCACAATTAGTCTGGTAAACCCTGCTCAGGTTGTCTGCCTCTATATTTAAGCATCCCACAATATGGATGGCTTTTGAGAAGGCCCCAATACTTAGAGCTACTTCCCACACTGCTATTGCTTCTAGACAATGTTTCTGAGAACCCATACCTCCCTGCTTGTTGAAATAGAACATTGTTGTGGTGTTCCCCATTTGGACAAGCAGCTTCTCGTCCTTGAGCATATCTGAGAAGGAGGTAAGGGCAAATCTTACCATACAAAGCTCCAGGATATTAATATGGGAAATTATCTATATCAAAGGTCATTGGCCCTGTACTGAAAAACCCCAACCAGATAAGGAAGTGTCCGTGGTCAGGTTGACTTGGGGAACCCAAAAACCAAACTCGATCCCTAAAAACAAATTAGACTCTCTAACCATCAATGTAGAGACCTGATCACCCTCCTAGGTATTGAAAAACAGCATCCTGGAGGGTGCTTATTAGGGTCATACTTCCTAACAAACCAAATCTGCAGATTGCTCATGAGCAATCTTGCTAATGGAATTACTGCAGTAGCTGAGGTCATAAGTCCTAGTAACTGTGGAATTGCCTTCACCTTCTGCCAATGCTTTCTAATGCAGCTCGATGCCATCACCTTAGTGTTTTTGGCTCTATCAGCAGGCAAAAAGCCTTACCTAAAATAGCATCCAGGTAAGCACCAATAAATTGTACTCACTGAGAGGGACCTCTTCCACTGCTCCCTTTGTAAGGAGCTCCCCAAGCTGAACTCTAAGCTCTGGGAAGGGGTTATCCATGGCAGTAGATGCTCGGTGGGAAGGAGGCTGGGATACTAACTCTAACGTAGCTATACTGAACTATAGATAACCCCAAACTATCTGACATAATCTGGTGCCAAGTCTCTATGAACTGTGCTAACCTATCCCTAAAACTGAAAACCTCTCCAACTACTGGAACAGATAGTCAGTATTTAGTGGGTTGTTGGGTCTGATTCCTCTGTGTGTTTTGCTGAGAGGGCCTCGATTGCAGGGTACCCTTTCATTTTGTAAAGAGGGGTGAATGGAATGGGTGCTGAGCAATACTCCCTCTAAGCTGTGGAGTCTTATGAGCAAAATTCCACTTTGTGAGCTACTGGCATTAAAGTTGTAAGTGAGCAATTTGGCTACTGCATAAATTAGTTTGCCCTGGAGCCCTCCTTCCTGAGCTAAAACAAAAATCTGTGAGCTGGAGACTAAAGAACTGTGAGCTAGCTCACACTAACTCAGCTTAGAGGGAACACTGGTGCTGAGGAAACATGAACAAGGGCTGGTGTTGCTGCCCCTGACCCCTATAAAAGGGGGTAGCAAAGCCATGCTGTCTTTGGGGAAATCACTGCCTGTGAGTCAGAGCTGAGGAGAACATACTCAACGATCTGGCTGTCAGATGGTTCTTTTTCATGCTGGACCGAAAAAAGCTGACCCTTCAAAGGGGAGATCCTCAACTTTACAGTGAATCTCATAGGTAAAGCAGTACTGTGTAGCCATAAGTGTCTCTGGAGTACAATGGCAGAGGCCATAGATCTAGCCAATACATTTGCGGAGTGTCCGTTTGTGGTAATCTTGTGGAGAGCTTAATGACTTCGGATTGGATAAGTTTAGCCAGGGACTTGGATTCCTCAGGTAGCTTGTCTAAGTACTGGGAAAGGCTCTCCCAGAGTAAAAGTTGGTAGCATACCATGATTACTCAATAATTCGCTATTCTGAAATTAAGAGCAGATGAAGCATAGAACTTCTTCCCCAAAGTATCCAAACAATGGCTCTCCCACTCCATGGGTGATGAATGCTGCCCAGGTCACTTGCGTGTTTGCATGCCTCCCGCATGGAGGAGGGTGTGTAGACAGGAAGTTGTAGGAGTCTTAACTTTATATAAATTCTCTATTTTTGAGGGGTGGCTTGGATGGAGGCTGGCTTCTGTGAGGTCGGATAGTGCCTCTAAAATAGGACATCTGTATAAAACCAACTCAAAATTCTGTCCTTCAGATGATTGTCTTAGCATCTGTTCTCCATGTAGACAAGAGATTTTCACTTGGTGATACTGCAGTTGGATCGCCTACTGTATTGTCAGGTGATGGATCTGAAACACTTTTGGAAATGCAACAAAAAGCTGTGGAGGACTCTTCCTTGGGCTCATGATATGGGGATTGGAATGGAACCATAGCTGAATGAGCCTCCATATATCCCCTAGCGTTGGCGTCATGTCCCTCCGATATCTGAGGGTGACGTCTTGCTCATCTATTTAAATAGGATGGTGACAAATAGTACAAATGCTGAGGAGGGCACCCCCAGTTTGGAGTTTCAAAAGAAAGAAAAAGTTTGTGGCAGGCCCACGCAAGCACAGTCCCAATGCAGGGCTGCACTAAAAAACAGAAGATGAATAGAATGAAAACACAGGATTAAAGAAATTCTGATCAAAGAAAAGAAAACAATATTTTGTTTACGAGATATCCAGATAGAAAGATTGCCAAACAACTGCCCCTTTTATTTCCAGGAAATAGGGGTGATAATTATTACCTTCAAACTGAAGATACCAAAATCAATCAGACTTTCGGGTCTGAATGCAATGGGAAAGCAGTATGGCAATGATAGATTCAAAAATTGAATGACAGCATATGATAGATGTTCTTTTCTGAACATGTTGGTTCAGCCTCTGTCATGGCCACATCAGTATCTGCTGAAGGCACAGCTGAGTTTGCTGCCTATTCCTGGAAAGTGCACAATAAATACCATTCCCATCCCTGAAATCAGCAGTTTTGGCCTATTATGTTAGGAGGGTGATTTCCCAATAACTGATTCTCTACCCATGTGAGTCCAAAAGTCCCCAACTTGTCTAGTATCAAATACCTGCAGGGAAGTAAAACAGAATCACACAAATGCAAGGCAGAGTATTCTGCATCATGATGGAACTCCCCAGGTATGTACAGAAATATTAATTTGGAAGGATGGAAGAAAAGAAGGAGGCTCCCAAAGAATGATCTGATACAGTCTGAGCTTGCTCATTGCCCTTCAAGTGGCATGGAATACTGAAGGAAGTTGAGTATCTGTTTTAACCAACACAAAAGGAAGGAGAGGGGAATAAGTAAACTCTTGATAGTTTATATAATCTTGGGAAAGGAGATTAGCATTAGGGGTACAAGCCACGAGAACACAAACTCCTCAACTCATATTTCTCCCCATGTTGGTTTCATCGTAGCTCTGGCTAAGGAATAAAGGGGTTTGAGATCATTTTAGAAATGGGTAAGTCTTCGGTTTTTTGGTCAACATCTGTTTCTTTATCTGCCCTGTAAATTTTCTGGCACCTAGTTTTCCTGCGCAAGCTATGTGCCTGACCTTGCTGTGTTCCTAAGCCCAGTTACTGTAAACACAGAAACTTTTATGTTTCTCAGAAAGCTCTCTGAACACTAGTTAGTACCATTCAACTTGACTTGAATTGACTCTTTAAGTACAGTGCATATGAACAACCTTAACTACGGACCAAAACAGAGGAGATGCTGGGGATGAGTTTTCAAACCCCCAGACATGACCGTAAGCTGTGAAGTCAAATCTGGACTGGGGCTGTAGCACTCAGCATGGGTGGGTGGTTGGTTGGCTGTGTATGTGAATTAACTCCCTTGTGCTGTTTCATTGATAAGAAATGGTCCCCGTGTTGCTTTTAGCCACAGTAGGCGAAACATACAGGTACCATGCCTTTTCCCTTGCAGGGGCTTAAAACAGCTAGGTAGAGGCATTTCCAAAATACTGTGGGGAAATGAACTATGACCAACCCAAGCATGGCAACCCTGATACAAATCAGTCCCATCCACAGCTGCTTTTGGAAGCTCAACTTCACATATGAGGACCTGGACATGAATGCTTATCATCACAGCTGTTTTGGCCCCTAGTTTAAAGGATCAGGCCCAGACCATACATAGACATACCACAGTTACAGCTGTTCTGCCTCCTAAACGTTTGCATCTAGAAAAAGGAGTGCTAAGCCAACAGAAAAGGGGGTGCTAGGCTAACAAGTACCTCTAAATCACGAATTGCCTGATTATTTGCAAGTTCCAATCATAGCTGGGTGTGATGTCCAAGCCAGAGTAAGAATAATTGCTTAAGTGTCCATGGATAAAAGGTGTTGCTTAAGATATCCTAGACAAAGACTATTTAGATCTCTTTTTTTAAAAAGATGAAACCAACATCTTGAATTGGATGTGAAAACCTACTGGCAGCAAAGTAGTTGTTACAACATTCAGACTGACCCCTGACAGCTGCATTCTGGATCAGCTAGAGTTTCTGGACACTTTTCAAGGGCAGCCCTAGCAGAGCACATTTACACTGTCTAATCTGTACATCACTGGGGCATGAATAACTGTGGTCAATACTTCCTGTCAAGGAAAGGGAATACCTGATAAATCAGTTGCAGCAGCAAAAAAGCACTCCTGGCCACTGCTAGCATGGTGGATGCAAAAACCATGACATACTTTTACATCATGCTACCCTCACCAAAGTAGCTATGAAATTAATTCTAACAACTTTTATTTTTTGAGATTCTTACTAGCTGTGTGGTCCAAAGATTAATCCAAAAACAAAAGCCACTTTAGTTGGTCTGAATAAAAGATCACAAAATAGCATGCAAGCTTTTTGAGTTCTCTAGAGTGCACCATCAGGTTGGATATTAAAGGGGAGGGTGATTTAAACTTGTTAGGCTAAATGCTTTTATCTGCTTCTTGTGCAGGATGTGCTGCAGATTACACTAGGTGGTATTGGGTGGAGTTGGTGCTCTTGTACCATAGCCTTCAGGGATGAAGGAAAAAGACAACAGCAGGCTCCACCTGAAAATATAAAATGCCAGCAAAGGAAAGACGTGGTAGTCATTTCATTAACAAAACTAGAGATTAATTTAGGTGATGCACTAAGTAACATTATATAGTAGAAAAGAGATGAGAAAGTACCACAAGCAGAGCCCCATCCAAGACAATCTTCCTCCCACTGAAGGATTCCTCTCTTTAATGACTGAATTTGGTGTTTTCCAAGAGAGAGAGAGAGAGAGATTGCAGGTAGCTGAACAAGAAAACATTTGTGTTTGGACTTTATTATCTTATTTATTATTTACTTTGCTGTCCCACATTCTTGAACTTATATGAGGCATATCTATAACAATGACCATATATTAATCAAGTCAACAAGGAAAAATATCTGATGTATACTTACACTGTATAGCTCGAAGACGTGGAATTATTGGGGGGCTACCTGGTGGACTAGAGCTGTTACTGTTCAAACTTCTTCGCTTATCCAAATTTGGGGAAGCTTGCACAGTTATCTTGTGTTGGAAATCTGTTACAAAGTACAAGAACATGAGTGTTTCATTGTTTCTAAATAAGTCCCCTCAAAGAATTTGCATAGTAATTTTAAGTAAAGGCTATAGTGATGATTTCTGAAACTTGGGATGAACATAACAGAATCACAAAGTCTGTTATGTATGTAATCCTGACCAGACTTCATGTAACTGAGGGCAGCATTTTAACCTCACAATAACTTACCGCATAGGTAAGCTTTGCAGCTGCATATGGACTGGAACCTGTTTTTCCCATTTGCAATCTCCACAATATATACTGCACAACACTGGCTCCAACAGTTATGTAATTGATTATTGTTGTGCTCTCATACTCTGTAAAATTAATTATTAGTCTGAAAGGGATATGAACTGAAAGCACACTGCTTTATAAGCCAAATAGCAATCTTTCCTAGTATTCACAGCAACCAGCAATAATGACCAATAGCAATTCAAAATGGCCCTGACTACCTCTTCCAGTTCAGTCTAAACAGATCCTTCAGTTCTATACATCAAGCAAAAAACATCAAGGGTACAAGATGAACACTTCCATCTGCTTTCCTGCAGCTCAAAATGTCCCCAAATGCTGTTCCTCTGAGGGTCCCCTGCCACCCAGGAGATGCATTTCATGGGGCAGTTTGAGCTGCAGTGGGAGAAGGGAGGTGAGAATTTGTGCTCTATGGGCAGAAATCCTTCTGTCGGCAGAAACGTTCTGGTGGAACCAAGCCGATTCTATCCCTAAAAATCTGAAGTATTCACACCAACAAAATATATTAGGTTTGGATCTTAAGTAGCACAGGTAGAGTTATGCTAGAGGAAGGCAACTTCCACCTCTCACTGCAACCTTCTGGGCCCTCTGAAATTGTGCTCCAGCAGGTCAGTGGGCCCCCAGGAACAATGGCGGGAGGGGGAATGGGAATCTGTAGCTGGAAGGAGGAATGGCAAAAGAATTACTCTTTCCTCTTCCGCAAATGGAAAAATTATTCTGCCAGAGGAGGAGCCTAAATGGCACCTTAGGATCCATGCCTTAGAGATTAAACTAGCCTCGTCATAGCCAGACAAACAGGGTGTGATATATTTTCTCCACATCACCTCACAATATATTCTAAATTGTAACCGAAACCTAGTGGATAGAGTTTAACACAGCCAACCAACAGAAGGGGGCACCCTCCTGCCCTCCTTTGACAATCCAAGGCGGATGTTATAAGTTTACTGAGGTAAACATCAATTCAATATGTGATCAATGGGAAGCAAGAAAGACATATAACTTGAAAGGTCCACCCTCAAAGGATCTTTCCATAGTTCATTTCATTCTACCAATTTTTCATTTGGATTTAGTGCAAGATACAATAGAACTCCAACACAGATGAAAACCCAATCTTCAAGTCCAGTAAGAAATTGATAATTTCTTACACCGCTAGCAGTACAATCCTTAATTAAGTTATACCCTTTTAAATCCACTGATATCAATTTTTAGCACAACAATTCAAGACCACTTTTAATTCAACATTTTGATGGTAATCTCTGAACATTTCAGCCAGGAATTTAAATCTGTCAGTGTAATACCTTCATAAAAAAGTGGGGTGGGGGAAGCAAACCTGAAGGCAGACTGATTCTATGTCCATCTTTAAGTTTTAATCGGCTTTTTTTAAACTTTCCCTTTCTTTTCTTCACATTGGGCTTCTCTTGATTTAGCTGGAATATCAAAATATTCAGTTCTCGCTCCAATACATCAATCTCCCGTTCTGCTAGCTGCTGCTCACGCCGTTTCAGCAATTCTTCTTGAGACTTCTGATGAAGGGCAGCTCTTTTTAACTCTTCTTCTCGTGACCTTAGCTCCTAATAACATTTATAGAAATAATAGTTAGGATATAGACCAATCTTACATCAGGTGATTAAAAAAAAACCCTTAAGCCTTTATGGATAGCATATTAGCTACTCAAAAATGTGGTAAATAGGCCACCTCCCAAAGGGTATTCACTAAAAAGAAAAGAGGTGATTAACCAGGATCTGGCTGTGTTCAAGAAGGCCCCCTTCTATTTTGTGTATGCCGAAGAGGTATGGCAAAAATAAACAAATCTGAGCTGTTAATGCAGTTTCAACAAACTCTTGCTTAGCAATTTATTGCAATAATCATTCACTATAAATGATCTTCTCTATACAGAGCATTTATTTCCCTTTAGTATGCTGTGCCCTTTCCTTTCTAATTGATCTTATTAGTTATTTTTAAGGATTGCTCAGATTTGGCCATCTGTATTGTTTCTTGTATGTTCACAAGCCATGTCAGGAAAAGGAAAAGCTTACTGTTATTATAAAAGCTTCTTATCTCTACTATTAGGGCCATCCATCAACTGAAGACATTTGATCAATCAACTTTTAAATAATTATGTGGTTACCAGAACCTAAATATGCAATATGGAAGGATTTGAACTTAATCATTCAAATAAATTGAGAGTCCAGAGGCACCTTTAAGACCAACAAAGGTTTATTCAAGGTATGAGCTTTCATGTGCATGCAGACTTTTTCAAATTTAAATAAAGTTATCGAGGATTTTGTTTTGCATTACCTATTATAGTAACAACATAGAGTCAAAATAACTTACAAAATAAAATGTATGTCCTTCAGTCTCAGGCACCAATGAAATTTATTTCCATCAGACCCAGAAACATGTTAATCTTCATTCCCCCCCTCTTTGTCCTAATGCAATATGCAAGGACCATAATCTCAAAAACAGTAAACTAGAAAAAGACAGTAGATCTTAAAAGTGAATACTGAACAAAGATAACAAATGCTCTTATTTTTATATCTTATTTATTTCTGTCTAACAAAACAGGAAGCAATTCGCACACATAACCTTAAAGGTAAAGAAAGAGAGACTGCAACATTTAAGTATACTAAATACATAAGCTAAATTGGACTGCACTAATTGTGTCTCTAGGCTGGAGCCAGAATGTACAAGACTGCTGAATTTATTGTACTTCTTCAGAAATGTGTGTTTTCTTTTGTTTTTATCACAAGCCAATTAATTAAACTGGAGTCCAAGATTTATTTATTTTTTTCGGTAAACAAATTTTTTTTCCCTCAGGACTACAACATGTAAAATTAAATCATTTCATTCTATCAATTGTCTACCCCATTCCCAATTCCTCCCGCCAATTAATTAAACTGGAGTCCAAGATTTATTTATATAAAATAATTTATCCTGCCACACCATATAAATCAGATTATAAATAAAACAGTTATAATACCAATCACCAGAATAAACTAAAACAGCATCAAACGAAATAAAAATATTGAAATAAAATCTTTAGAAACAATAAACTAGCATCAGAATAAAAACAAAAGGTTTTTAAAAATCTATAAAAACCCAGAAGAAAACGAACTCTTAAAACATCAGTGATACCTAACTAGGGCAACTCATAACACTGTATCAGAGACAGGAGAATTTCTAAAAGATCTGTGGGAATAAAGTGTCTTGGCCCAGTTCACAAGAAATAGTAAAGGTGGTAGCAGGTGAATATCCGGGGAGAGGGAGTTTGGTGCTTCCACTGAGAAGACCTGGAAAAGTGGGCAGATATGAACAAGATGCAATTTAACAAGGATAAATGCCGAGTTCTACATCTGGGTAACAAAAATGAGGAACATGCATACTGGATGGGGGATACACTTCTGAGTAGCAGTGTGTGTGAACAAGATCTTGGGCTACAGGTGGACCGAACATTAAGTATGGGCAGCCAGTGTGATGCGGCAACAAAAAGGGCTAATGTGATCTTGGGGTGTATCAACACGGAAACATCCAAATCACAAGATGTCATAGTCCCGCTGTACACTGTATTGGTCAGGCTGCACCTGGAGTATTGTGTGAAGTTCTGGAGGCCTCACTTCAAAAAGGATGTGGACAGAATGGAGCGGGTGCAGAGGAGAGCAACCAAGATCGGAGACCTGGAGACCAAGCCCTATGAGGAAAGGCTGAGGGACTTGGGAATGTTTAGTCTGGAGAAGAGGAGGTTGAGAGGGGACATGACTGCTCTCCTTAAGTATTTGAAAGGCTGTCACTTAGAGGAGGGCAGGGAGTTGTTCTTGTTGGCAACAGAGGATAGGACTCGCAATAATGGGTTTAAATTAAGGGTGGGAAGGTACTGGCTGGATATTAGGAAAAACTTTTTGATGGTAAGAGCTGTGCAACAGTGGAATCAGCTGCCTAAGGAGGTGGTGAGCTCCCCCTCACTGGCAGTCTTTAAGCAGTGGCTGGACAAACACTTGTCAGGGATACTCTAGGCTGATCCTGCATTGAGCAGGGGGTTGGACTAGATGACCTGTATGGCCCCTTCCAACTCTGTGATTCTGTTCTTTGCTGCTCACCCACTTTGCTTCTTAAAAATGTGACATGCATGGTAGGGCCTCAGTAAAGAATAATTCATTATTAGAATCTAAAACAGCTTGATGTTTGAATCATACATTTTAAAAGAAACAATTTCTGTGACCTGTATAGCCCAGGCTAGCCCGATTTTGGAAGATCTTGGAAGCTAAGCAGGGTCGATCCTGGTCAATATTTGGAAGGGGGATCACAAAGGAATACCAGGGTCATGATACAGAGGCAGGCAATGACAAACCACCTCTGAATGTCTCTTGCCTTGAAAACTCCACCAGGGGTCACCATAAATCAGCTGTGACTTGACAGCAAAAAAAAAAGTATTTTTCTATTATGCATTAAACAAAAAATACAATCCCACAGAGATTGGTGTCATTTTAAAATTCACTCACTTTTTCCTTGGTCCTCAGTTCATCGAATATCTGCTGGATTTCCAGTTTCCAGTCGTCTTGCATAGAATGGAAGGATTCCTGAGGCATATCTGTTGTAACAGCCCCCTCAATGGCAGTAAGCTGCTCAAGAATCAAGGCAAATGATGGTCGGATATGAGGGTCCTGCGCCCAGCATTCTAAAATTCATCAGTTATATCAATCAGAAGAAAATCCAAACAAAACTTGAATTTACAGCAATTTCTATGGATGCTAAACTATTTGGCACTTCATCTGAGAGATCTCCACATATGGCATTTCTTTTCCTTGATGTCTGTTGGTTCAGTTCACTTGGAACGTTCCCTGTGCAAACCCCATGAAAGTCACTGACATACTTTCCAGATAGAGCAAGGTCACTGAATGGAACAAATTCCTCTAAATAGCTTGAGAGGCAGTAGAGATGAAAAATGGGAGTACACATAGATCAACATATGTTTGATGTCTACAATACCTTAGAGTCTTTAACTTCCAAATGGGGGTGAAAGAAAAGCAAGCAAATCACACATGTATACATCATACACAAATCCATCCAGGTCGCACACAGTGTGTGCTGTGTGCAATGGTGGAGTATTAGTGATCCAAATATATGTTCCAACATGTGCAGATTAACTATTTGACAACAAACATCTCAACTGCCCCTATGACAATGAACTATGGCACACAATGGGTTTTTAAAACTGACGCAGTCTTTTTCTTCATTTGAAGTTGTAAAACTGCCAGCCTTGACTAACTGCACTAGTGACCAAAGTCTGTTTTCTTATTCATCATTCACTGCAATAGTGAAAGGAATAAGGCGCCATAGCCCAGAGTGTGAAACCTTATTAGATTTCAATCAGGGCTATTTTTGGGCAGGAACGCACAGGAACGGAGTTCCGGCTGGCTTCAGAGTTGGCCACGCCCACCACAGCCAAAACCTCTGCGTGCGTGGCTACAGAGGGAAGGCCTGGAGAGCGATCCCCCCCCCTGTTGACTTCAAGGCGGGCAGGCCAGGGGGTCCCCTGGAAGGATCAAATGCCTCCCCATGCCTGTCCAAGTGCCGGCTTGCCCAGGCTCTCCACAGCCGCAGGGTGCCCAGGCAAGCCAAGGGAAGGCATGGGGGTGTGGCTTAATATGCTAATGAGTTTCTGCTGTTGGGTGTGGCCTAGTATGCTAATGAGTTCCTGTTGGGCTTTTTCTACAAAAAAAAGCCCTGGATTTCATTAGGCATTGCTAACAAACTTCCAATTTGCTTTTCAAAGCCAGTTTTAAGCACTGGCTGAAATGTGAGACTGGGTGGGTTCAAACCCTCATTTGGCGACAAAACCTGACAGGATGGCTTCGCCCGCATCACTACCCTTCAACCTAAACTACCTCACAGCTTACTATGAAGTTACACTGCTGCTCTATATTCATTCATAGGAAAGACAGAATACAAATGAATGGCTCCAAAAGCCAGTGTGGTACAGCGGTTACAGCATTTGACTAGGATCTGGGACTCAGGCCCGGATCCCAACTCTGCCATGTAAAGCCTGCTGGGTGACCTTGGCCAGCCACACACTCTCACCTTAACCTACCCCACAGCACTGTTGTCAGGACAAAATGGAAGAAAGGAGCTAAACTGCTTTGGGCTTCCATTGGGGAGAAAGGCGGGATATAAATTAAGCAAGCAAAGAAAGAATAAAGGTGTCTGAAGATTAATACAGACTTAAAAATCAACTATATGCATCAGAACTAAATGTGTTAAAAAACCACGTTTTTTAGCAGAGAACTGCCATGAAGTAGAAAACCAATGTAAAGTTAGCATGATAACAAGTGAAATGTTGAAACATGCATATTATAGACAACATGCTAGACATCTCGTAGCAATTGTTTAATAAGCTGCACAAGTACCTTTCATTAGTTTAGCAAATGGTTCAGGACAGGTGGATGGAATGGGCAAAGTAAGCTTATTGACAGCAACACCATAAGCCACCGCAAGACCATCAATGCCACGGTAAGGAACTTCTCCTGTAAGCAGTTCCCACAGCAATACGCCATAACTACAAAGTAAATTTTTGAACAGTTACATTTACTTCCTTTAACACAGACACAGAGCTTACTGAAGGGCAAAATAAAGGCAGTCTAGAAAGTACTTTGGTAAAGACTGAAAAGTATCTTAAAAACTCAACAAAAACTATTTCATTTCATTAATAATCTTTATCTTTCCAACACTAATTAGTGAAGCTACAAGTGCTTAAAGCAAAGTGAAATGCCTATCAACAACATATAAACTACTAGGCAGTCAATGTAATCCATATATGTAAAAAAGAATCTTAGGAACAACAAAGTGGATTTACTCCTTTTCTTTCACCGGAGGTCTGTGCAAGCAAGAAAGGCACTGAGCATAAGGAACTGAAGAATCCCTCTTCTCCCATCCCTCCCCATATGTTTTTCAACTTGAACAACACACAATAAATGGCTCATTGTATTTATTTATTTAGGGGAGGTGCCATGGCTCAGTAGTAGAGCATCTGCTTGGCATGCAGAAGGTCCCAGGTTCAATTCCCATTATCTCCAGTTAAAAGGACCAGATGGCAGACAATGTGAAAGACCTCTGCCTGAGACCCTGGAGAGCCGCTGCCAGTCTAAGTAGACAATACTAACCAATGGTCGGTCTGATTCACTATAAGGCAGCTTTATGAGTATTCATGTATTTAAAACGAAAAATGTTAATTTCATTTGAGACTGATTTGGACTGATTTGAAATTTATTATGGTAGGCCCATGAGGTGATGTACACTGTAAGGTGATACACACTGGGACGAAAAAAATTCCCAACTGCAGATATGGACTAATGGGGTCTGAACAACATTGCAGAGCTGGAAAAAGTACAGAGGAAGGCAACCAAGATGATTGGGGTGGGGGGGATGAAGCTCCTTTCCTATCAGGAAAGACTGAAGAGTCTGGGACTCTTCAGTTTAGAAAAGAGATGACTGGGAAGGGGGACATGATAAAGGTTTATAAAATTATGTGGATCAAAAACTGGCTAATTAATAGGAAACAGAGAGTATAAATGAGAAATTTTCTCAGTGGAGGGTGGTAAGCAGTGGGGTACCAGAGGGATCAGTACTCGGTCCGATGCTTTTTAACTTGTTCATTAATGATTTGGAGTTGGGAGTAAGCAGTGAAGTG